TTTTCTACATTTTTAATAGGAGAATTCAAACATGAACATTTAAACGTTATAGGGTATATCCTGAGTTAATCGTTTGATTTAATGTTTCCGTCTCGCATCTACTGAGGAGCGCGCGTTTTTCGAGTTTGTTTACAGTTGGGTTTAGTTTGTTATGAGAATTACTCCGAAGTCATTGTCATGTATATGACTTGATTTCAATTTTTATTGCTGAGAAATGGAAAATTTTGTTCTTTATGATGAAATTGCTGTTTCGGACGGACAGACAATTTACAAGGCACGAAGGAAAGGCACAATCTCTTTTTTGGCTATTTCTTCCATTGATAAGCGAAAGCGGGCGTATGTTACCAATCATGTACGGTTCGCCCACGAATTCAATCACCAGAATGTATTGCGATTTTATGAGTGGTACGAAACAAGCAACCACTTATGGGTTGTGATGGATTTATGTACGGGTGGAACGCTCGAGAACATTTTACGAGAGGACAAGCTTTTCCCAGAGGAGGCTATTATACGCTTTGGTCGACAGCTTGTGCAGGGACTTAGTTTTATGCACTTATCTGGCGCAATTTTTGCGGACTGGTGTCCTCGGAGGGTTTGTTATATCTTATTGATATTATTTTGATGTTTTAAGATATTTTTGGACGGTGAAGGCAATATAAAGTACTACGATTTTTCTTATGCTCGCATGGAAAATGAATGTGGTCAGAAATTCCTTAGTCGATTTTCTGAAGAAAACGACGAGGGGGACTCCGAATTCGACGGACTTTCGGACGCTGCGCTTCCATATATAGCTCCGGAAGTGTTATCGGGCCAACCCACATCAAAAGCATCAGATGTATGGGGACTCGGATGCCTATTATTTCAGATGTTCGCCGGTTCAACGCCCTATGCGAGTCAGGTGCCCTCACACGTACGTCACGTGATTGTTTTATGCAGTATTTCTAGTTTTTTTCACGTTCCTCCTGTGTTCCTTTACTTTATGGAAACTGAACAATTTTATTTAGAAAATACTTTGTTAAGTCTTTTTTTCAACTAAGTCTCCTGTTTTTTCGAAGTTGTTGTATTCCTGGTTGTAATTGTTGTCTTGGCAAAATATTTTTCTCGCCAAGATGTAATTTCTTGTAATTTTTTTTCAATCCTTTCTCGTGTTAATACTTTTAGGATTATTAAGGTCATTTCCTGAATATTCATTCATTCACTAAATGTTGATTATACATTGACGTGGTTATATTCACTGAACTGCCTCAAAAACTTGTAGTTTAATTAACAAGTAGATGCCGTCAGGTACTTAAATTGAACCACTGTATCCTTCCACTGTGGACCTCTTGCATTGCAAATGTACGATCGCTGAGAGGAAAGCTCCCACCTGTCGCTTGTTTATCGAAGGACTTTTCAAACTTTTTATCCAATTTTGAGCCAGCTATAATTTCCAGTGAGAAGATAATCTACATAAATCTCTCTGATATTTGACCGGTGTTTGTTGTGTTCCTCACAGCACCACTGTTGCTTATCAAAATTTGTATCTTGAAGTTACCTTGATCATATGGAGAGCGTCTGTATTCCTTAGTCAACCAAGATTCTCCAGATCTCCATGCAGCCTAACTTGATAAATTCCACTCGCTTATCTGATTTTATTTTTTAAGTAATTAATGCAACATACGAA